CCACATACCCCGGGGGTGGACGATGGATTCTATCGGATGCCGAGGGCATTCGGCACCAATACCCATCAGCTTCAAAAATGCCATAATGCAACTCAATTTGCTCGGCAAACCGATATTGATCGGCATTCTCTACCCACCATGAGTAGGGGCGGTTCTTTATCATGGCCGAAGCAACTTCGGCATTCTCCCATTCTGAAAATCCGGGGAGGATATCCCAAAGGACAGCGGGAACTTCATCATCCCGTCCAGAAGCGCTCGGCTCCTCCGTTCTCTGAGGAGGAGCCGAGGAAAGGGGAGTCGCCCTAATCCCTTCAGCAGGGTCAGACTCTGGCCTTTGTCCATTCCAGGTCCCAATCCTGTTCCTAGGATCGGGAATCGGCCTTGCTCTTCTTGGAGCACGGGCTCTACCTCTAACTCCTCTTGCCATTGATTATTTCGAAGAAAAAAGTCGAAAGAAAAGGGGAAGGAGTTCGAATTCGAAGAAAAATAAACTGAAATCAAAGGAAATTACCTTAATTTGAAGCGAAAGTTGGCGATTTACGAGTTCGTAGTGGCAAGTCTCAGTTTCTAAGCTTAATGCTCGGGGAATTTGCGAAGTTTTGATGCGGGTTCTTGGTTTCTCTCTCGAGAATTCTGGGTTTGTGTTGGTGAATAAGTGAGGAGAGATGACGCGCCTCTGTTTATATCTCCAGGTATGGGATACGAGGAGTCTACGTTTTAATTTCTCTTAAATACTCCACTAAGTAACCGTTAAACACATGATCTTATGATTAAACTGCCCATTACCCGTCCAACTTCCACAATCATCCACCTTAACCGTTGTTATCTCATTAATTACGGTTTAAATTCAAATTTTTGGATTAATCAAATCATTTACTTCCCTCCTTTTCTGAATTAAATCAAACCCGACCTGTCATCCTTCCAAATCGGGTCTGGGGGGCAAGTTGTTTGGGTCCAATTTAGTCCAATTGGGCCTAGGCATTAAATGATCCAATTAAAAGCCCAAGGTCAAGGTTCAACTCTCCAATTGTGCTAAAGTCAAAGGTCAGCCCACAAAGCAAGTCAATTGGGCTAAGGCCCAACCTATCGAAGAGGTATAAAAGCCATCAATATTCAGAGATTCATTCATAGACACATATATACATGTTCATTCATACATTCTCAGATATTCCATAAAAGCCTCAAGCAACAAACTCTCTTGCATAGTGTTCTCTTTTTACACATTGTACTGACTTTAGCATCGGAGGGGCCTTCCTCGGCAACACCCCCGAGGCTAGTTTACGTGTGTTTACTGTGCAGGAAACCTTCGGCCCAACATAAATTGGACCGAATCCAGTCTTCTCCGTTTCAGTGGACCTTCGGCAAGGTCCCATTGTTTTCACCCGAAACACTCGGATCCCTTGAAAAACCTGGATCCCAGTTATTGTGGAAGCTATCAAACTCGACAGCAACAAAGGGGTATGTACTCGTAACATTGCAAGATTTACTAGTACCACCTATCAAACCAAGACACCCACCAGCTGACTCCCCTGGTGCATCAGCTGAAACATCGAACGGTGCTAGAAAAAAGGCGAGTCCATCACCGTAGTAGTTAGGATCTTCAACCACCTGTGTGATGTTAAAAGAGAAGTGGGTGGTAAAGTTTGTTGTCTTGTTTTTGCATTTATTTCTATGTCACTTTATTATTTCACTTTTATAGTTGTGAGAGGAGATATATTTACCTATTTATCTCATAGAGAAACTTGGATTTTCCCTAAGAAAAACTAGGGAATGTCATTTACTCTGTAATTGCCTTTTATTCCGGTGATTACTGATTTACAATTAATAATCTTCATAATCACTTAGGTACCAGACTAGGCTTAGCTTAATTGCAAGGGATAGGCCTAATTGCATGTCTTTGGTCATGAGATCAAACTCAACTAGGAGTCAAGAAATAGGAATTCCCTTTTTAATTTCTTCTCCCTCAATCCAATGAGTCTAATAGGTCTTGGGTACGACATATTGTGTTATAATAACTTTTTTCTTTAGGGGTACATATTTTAGTTATATTAAACATACTCAAGTGGTTAAAGAGTTAGAGTTTCCCTCTCAATTACAGGATGTAACACCCCAATAATTCTCTATTTAAACCTGAAATTTCTTTAATAAAATCCAAGAGAATTACTGACGTGCTACCGCCACGTGTTCAAACGTTACGGCTAATTCAAAATTTAACAGCGAAAAAATCTAACTCAGTTATAAATAAGTTTCAAAACCAAAGAGCAAAACCAAGTTAAGTCTTACAAGTTGGAACCATTAAAACTCTTATTCAAAACCCAACAAAAGTAGTAAATAAATCAAACCAGAGTTTAAATGAATTCAAGCTTATGAAATGAAATAAACTCCGAACAATAACCAACTCTCCACTCAAAATCCCACCACCTTGATGCAAGTCCAAACTATGTGAACACCTGTGATAAGTCTGCTCCTCAATATTACAAGCGTAAAGATTGGATCATTACAGGGTCATTGATGGGCGAAGGCCATGACCAAGAAAAAGACACACAAAAGCAAGCAATCAGCAACGCTGGGTACATACAGGCTACGAAGTATAACAAAGAATTCCTAACATGCTACTAATAATCAATCAACACACAATTTAATTATTGACTCAAACACATGCCTCAACTGTTAACATTACTAAGACTTCACTAATTAATAATAAATCATTCATTTCATTTTATTCATTGGATTAAGCAATAGACAAGGTTGTCTCCTCATGCTCCAATTTGGAACATCAATTAAAGAAAAACCCTATGCCTCCTTTCGAAAACATCAATAAACATCCAATGACAGACGGGCGCGACTCCGTGGCCATAGCTAGTTTGAGATCTCATCTAACTCCTTATAGTTTTAAAAAGTATTTGAAAACAAGAGACTCGTAGATCAGCTGGCCTCTAGAAAAGTGCACGACTAATACCCCGTGTACCCCAACCCCTGTTTGTCATTACTCTAGATGTGCGAAATTTTATTGATCATCCTTCTTGCACTTTACGTGATTTACCAGTTTAAACTTGGTGATGACTCTAATGTAAAATAATACAACCAATCAAACATTAATCATTCAAGCAATTCAAATTTCCAATTCAATTCTTGATTTATTAGTGACAACAATTTATTATTGAATCCTTTAACTACCTTAATGTATAAACACCTTAAGTGCATAAAGCACCTCAAATCCTCGACCTCGTCTTATAAGACTTTAACTTCTTGATGTATAAAATGGACACTCTTTAGCAAGAACCAATTTTTTTTTTTTTTTTTCACAGATCCAATTTTAAAACATGAGAGTTTATTCTTTGCTTTTAGGTAAGTTATACAAATATTTATTTTGGGGTGAATTTTTTTTTTTCTACAAATTTTAATCAATGGGTATACAATTTTTATTATACTCGATTTTTTTCTTAAGTTTGAATAGGAGGAATACATAGCGTGTATATGTATTATGTAGGGTGGTTTGTTGTAGTAAATATTAGTATATGAGATGAAAAAAATAATTAAAAATTGTAGGAGAAGGTGCAAAACTGAGATATAAAATTTAAAATAGTGAAATGGTTCCAAAGAGAGATAAGTGTGTGTCTATTAAAAAATAGAGGTTTAAGAAAAGTATATTCCGTATGCCCATATCACTTAAAATCACTATATGATGTACTTGTTTTAATTTTTTCATGTACATAAATGTACAACTTTTACCGTTACAAAATATAATAATTATTTAAAAGAAAAAGTTTCACTAAGTTAGTATTTTGGCAAATATATATACAACAGATGAAGTTATAAGTATCTAACATAAACATTCGCTTATATACATATTATGTAGTATAGATCTGTTAAAAGTCTATTATGTAAAATATGTGATTGTTAATAAAATAAGAAAAAAAAAAAAAAAACATATGTCCCGTGCTTGATAAATGCTCAAAAAATATATGTGAATAATTTAATTGTGAATCAAAGAAGTTCCTTGATAAATGCTCAAATAACCATTAATCCCAATAATTTCTTGTACGTAAGTAATATTTTCTAGAAAATACATGTCCCGTGCTTAAGTACTTGTATATTATACGGAGTAGTAAGTTAATAAGTTCAGAGTTAATAGTATTATGGTAAAATTAAAGTGTGTTAGATATTCAAGTACGAAGAGAGTACTCAATAAAAGAAAGTATAACTCAATAACTTATGTAATGCGTAGTATTCTTCCTCTAACATTTTGTCATCACACTCTCTTTCTTCATATCTCATGTGATATGTGACCGGAACTCTTTTTCTCTCAACCACTTATCTCTCTTCTTCAGTCCTCACCTCCAAGACTCGTTGTTGAACAAGTCCTGAAACTCATTCTTTGTTCAAAATTTAGAGCCTCCTATCAAATGTCTAGCAGATGCACTAGCTTTGAATAACTATCCAATACATTGACTGTACCAAGTCAATGGAAAAACACAGTTTGCTCTTAGAAAAGATAATAATTGTGTTCAACTCATGAGCAAGGTGGAAAGAGTCCAAGACCTTTTATATAGATACTTCCTAGTTCCTTCATTCTCCATATATTGCACTATTTAGTATTTATCTTCTAAGAAAGTTACACAAATACTACACCGTATTAATGTAGAGTCAATATTACGTGATCTGGAAAAGATATCTCTAGTCATAGTTTCTTACAGCAAGCCAAAAAACAAACTAATGGGGACTTTCTTTATGACAAACAGAGCTATATATAGACTTTGGATTATTTTACATATGATGTAAATTATCATGACTACCTAAAATTTCTTTGGGGTATCAGCTACAACAAAGAGAAAATTAAGAATTTTTTTGGTTGATAAAACCATCTAAAACTATATAGTATATACAGAAATTAAGTTGCAACTTGCAAGTCCCATGGACTTGACAAATGACAAATGACAATCCGCATATTAGGAGAACAAATAAGAATGATAGAGCAACCAATGAGATTACTGATCACATTTTTGGTAATTAATTTACGAAATTACATTTCAGAAGATCCATAGATTGTTCCCTTTCGGTTGCCGTCACCGTCAAATTTTGAGGCACCTACATGTGTTTCATATTGAGTTGTTGGAAAAGTAAGAGATTAACAAAGTAATCACTTAATTTTATTAGAAATAGATACTGTATATACATCTACATCCAAGAAATTTTTTACTAAATCCGTACTGAAGCTAGAAAGTGCACGAAGTTATACAATCAAGTGCAAAACACCAAGGGTAACTTTCTAACATAAAGAGTATAAAATGGGAAATTTTATTCAGACAGATAGGATCTAGAAAAAAAAGGTAATCAAACTGTTGCATTCTCTAACAGCAAAGGAACAGTACCGGAAACAACTGAGTGAGATGATGAGGAGGTTGTGGTGCCAGCAGTACTGCTGCCTGTAAACCCAGAGGAGGACGAGATGTAAAAAGGCTCTACATTAGTTGGCAGAGAACTGTAGAAGGGAACCGGGAACTTCATAGGCAAATTAGGCAAAGAAGATTCCATGTTAAGAACATTTATAACCTGTCTTATAGTGGGACGGAAAGTATATTCAGGATGGCAACACCACAACCCAACAATCATTAAGCATTCCATTTTCTGACTGTCAAATTTGGCATCAAGTCTTTTATCGGCTGCTTCAAGAAGATGAACTTCTCCATAGAGCTGCCACACCCACTCTATCATATTCACCTTACTAGGCTCTTCATTGGTTTCAACAGGCCGTCTTCCACAAGCAATTTCAAGGGCCACCACTCCAAAACTGTATACGTCAGATTCTTTGCTGTACTTACCTGCCATAACACATTCTGGGGCTAGGTAGCCTAAAGTGCCGGCCAATACAGTTGTTTGTGATCCTCGATTGTGGTCCACAAGCCTAGCAAGCCCAAAATCTCCAAGCTTAGCATTGAAATTAGAATCAAGCATGACATTGCTGGCCTTGATATCTCTATGCAGCACACATTGTTCCCATTCTTCGTGGAGGTATAACAAGGAAGATGCCAGGCCATGAGCAATTCTGTACCTCTCTGTCCAAGGTAAGACCACCTCCCTCCTGTCCCCGTAAAGATGAGAGTCAAGACTTCCATTAGGCATATATTCATAAACAAGAAGCAAATCTCCTAGTTCATGGCACCAACCAAGAAGCTGAACCAAATTTCTATGCCTCAATCGACTGATAATCTTCACCTCTGACACATACTCCTTTTTCCCTTGTTTAGATCCCCTTGATATTTTCTTGACTGCAATATCCCGACTGAGATCAGACAGATAACCTCTATACACACCTCCAAAACCTCCCTGTCCTAACTTCCCTTCCTCGGGGAAGTTGTTAGTAGCGCGAATAAGTTCACTGTAAGTGAGCCTCCTCGGCCCGGTATCCTGATCATAATCATCATCCATTTCAAAGTTTATGTCGTCGTTATTTCCTCCGGACTTCCTTCGCCACCACATAAATGCTACTGCACCTAATCCAATAATGGTGACACTAATACCGGCTACAGAACCACCAACCACTGCTGCTTTGCTATTTTTTTTGCTTGGCCTAGTTGATGCTTGATTGCTTGTGTAATTTTGTGGAGGTGGCGTTACACTAATATCGATATCTTCTAAGGTTGAGTTGAAATCCCAAGAAAGGATGTTATGAAGTTCGTAATTTGCCCCTGTTGCAGAAGCAAACCCAACTCTGACTCTTTCCGGGAGAACTGATCTCAGGTCAATGACATATGAAAGGCTAGATTCCCCATCAAATACAGGATTAGCATCATAGCTTAAGTAAACACTTAGATTTCTGGTAGAAGAATCATAAGTTATCCATGCATTTGCTGTACTCCTGTTCTTCAGGCCATCAGTTACTGTAAAATTTGCTTTTGAATATACAGAATTGACATTTATTCCTACATGATCATTACTCGGATCCCATGAAAAACCTGGATCCCATTTATTGTGGTAGCTATCAAACTCGACAGCAACAAAGGGGTATGTACTCGTAACATTGCAAGATTTACTAGCACCACCTATCAAACCAAGACACCCACCAGATGACTCCTCTGGAGCATCAGCTGAAACATAGAACGGTGCTAGAAAAAAGGCGAGTCCATCACCGTAGTAGTTAGGATTCTTATCCGCCTGTGTAATGTTAAAAGAGAAGTGGGTGGTAAAGTTTGTTGTCTTGTTTGTGCTTTTATCCCAAAGGCGCACAGCCTGTTTGTAGGATGCCCGTCCTACACTGCCATGGAGACTGCCATCTATTCTATTGGCAGTCAGTTGAATCGCCTTATTTGTAAGAGTTGTATCGTTCCCTAAGATAATTTTTTGAGTGTTTTGGTTAAAAGTAGGGAAGCTAAAGCTCAATGATTGTACATTTGAGACAATAAAAAACAGCAAAATAAACATATGAAAGATATTACAAGTCTTTTGGATGAAGTATAATGACGAACTGACGCTGCAAATTGATACCCTCATTTCTGTAGATTGGAATACAGAGCAAAAGCAACAATAGAAAGAAGAAAGGCAAATAAAATTTACAGGTTGGAATACAAAGCTTGGCTCAAATTCACTATATTCAGTTTTAGGTCTTGCTCGGATTGAGGGTAATATATTAAGGGGTAATAAAAGTCAAATTTGAAAAAACATAAGTAATTAGGGGTTTTGTTGTAGGAGGCATGGTTTTTACGAATGAAATAAAATAATTGTGTCACGAGGAAAAGAGAGAGATGGAGGAATTATTACCCTTATAATAAGGATAATAGTTAGCCACCCTTCCCCTAATGTAACTATTACCCCAAAATAAGGATATTAGTTCATTTTTTTTCACCTTATAATCTCATACCACACCATCACTACATAATTTTCTTTGCAATCACACCATCTCTATCTCCTCCTTCCCTATTTTCACTTTCATTTTTCTTAGTTTGACTTTTATTATTCTAGCAATACATCTCCTCCAATACAAGCATGCCTTTAACCAAATAATATCTATAATTCAGCTGCAGTTTTTGACTACGTCAAACACAAGTTAAGAACACGGTCAATTCGTTTATATTTTAACAAATAGTCTTCATGGGTCATACAAATTATAAATCAGCAAAAAAGGACAATAATGCAGTATAATGACCTGAGCACTTGCCAAGTTGATGACTTCTAATAATTCTATGCAATAATTAAAGCACAGATGCCGACATATATTGTGGAAAATGAATGCTCCCTTCGCCTTTAAGAACATGGTCCTGTAATCTCTTTTGGTCAAATTTAGACCCTCCTATCAAAAGTCCTGGAAACAACTATTCAAGATGGCAATACATAGCATGAGGGACGTTTCCCCAAAGTGAGCCAAAACCAAAATCTATTTACGAAATTGGTTGCGTGGTAAAACTATTTACCAAATTAAGCTTTCAGGGTAAAACGCTGTCTCGGACAGCGTTTATGCCCTAGTTTTTTAAAAAAAAAAATCATTTGGTAAACGTTGTGTGGGGCAGCGTTTTACGTACAAAATTTTTGTTGCACATAAAACGATGTCTGAGACAGTGTTTTATGTACAATTTATTTTGAACGTAAAACGCTGCCCCAGATAGCGTTTTTCTGCTGGACTGCATCATCAGCAGTCAGCAGGCTGTCTTCTCTAATATCTGCCCCATTCCACATTTCTGTCCCCAACAAGCCACCCCCAACCTTCAGTAAGCCACCACCCTCAAACTTTATAAGGGGATGGAATACATATGTAAATTCCAATTTCCCTTCTAGAGGCCTTTTTTTGACTTTTTACCCAGCCAAACCCCCGTAAGGAGTTTGGACAGTATAGATCTCGTCGAAACACCCAATTTGAAAAAAAAAAATCGCCTCGATCGGACACCTGGAGACAAAGTTACGGGTCCCCAAAGTTTAAGGGTAATATCTCTCAACCCGGGCATCGGGGGACCTATCCGAGTAGACGCTTGCGTAGTGCTCTTGGAGATAAGGTGTTTCAAAAAAAAAATCGCCCCAATCGGACCCCGGTGCTAGGATTTATGCCCTTCCGAGTTTACCATATCCTCGGGATTCTACTCAAAAGTAGGGAATAATGCGATTTTTACTCTCGAAAATGATGTATTATCGTAGATCTTAATTTTTCATATGAAAACGAGTATTCACTTGACCCGAGGGGTTTTGTATTTTGTATTTTATGACAATTTAAAACTTTCGTTTTACTTATTTCTTACAAACCGCAATTCTCCTTTGTGATGTTATAAAGCTATATAGTATTTATCTGCACTAACTATTCCATAGTTGCGCTTGGCTCAGATGGTTGGTATATGTACATGTCATTTCATATATGTACATCACAGGTTCGATCCCCATGTATGACTTGTTTTTCTTTAATTTTTTTTTTTTTTTTTTTTTTTTTTTTTTTTAAATTGTACATAAAACGCTGCCTCATACAGTGTTTGACGCTTTTTTTTTTTAGCGTTTTAAAAATTGAATTTTTTTTTAAACCAGGGCATAAACGCTGTCCGAGACAGCGATTTACCTATAAAAAATCCAGGGATAAAACGCTGTCCGAGACAGCATTTTACCCTCGAAACTTAGTTTGGTAAATAGTTTTGCCACGCGTCCAAAGTGGTAAATATTTTGCCAATTTGGCTCAATTTGGAGAAAAAGCCTAGCATGAGCCAAGTCAATGGAAAATCAGTTTCCTCTCCATAAAGAAAAAAAGTACAACTCGTGAGCAAAGGTGCAAAGAGTGAAAGACGTATATGCATATACTTTCTCCATTCACAAATACTGCACGTACTAATGCAAAATTGGCTAATGCCTTATTTTACCTACTAAAAAATACCTCGATTTGCGTAACACACGCTAAATAAGGCATTGCAGATTTTTTTTTTTTCAATTCTAGCCTTTTCAAAGGACCAAAATAACCCCTAAAACATCTGAAGATCATGTTTCTGACTCGGATATCAAAGAAAATTCAAAAAGTCTTTATATTTGACGGTCCTATTGACGGCAGATGGTGAATAACAATTTTAAGAATTTTATTTTTAAGTGGTTAGTAAAACTGTTATTAGAAGTTTTGGTGGTAAAAAACAATTTCGTATTTTTTTTTTTAGGTATAATTCAAAATTTCCTAATTTATAAAATGCAAAACTTTCCACTATGTCAAGGCTTGCTTGGCATATGGGTATGTATAGTTTTATTTTATATAATAAGACGTAAGTAAAGTAGTTATGGTATAAAAAATTGATAAGAAAATATATTAAACTTAATATAATATTAGTTTGTAAAATATTTTTAAAAAATAATTAAAATTCAAGACTAGTGAGGAGAGAAATATTCCAAAAAATAAAAATATAACACTTAAAACGGTTGATTAAGAAAAAGTGTAACACTATAAAAAAAAAAAAACAAGGGGAGTAACATTTACTCGATAGTTGCCTTTTTCTTTTTCTGGTGATTGCCGAGTAAATTTTATTTAAAAGCAAGAGAGATGAGAGATTTATTTCAAAAAAGAGAGATGAGAGATGTTATTAAAATAATAATTAAAATTTAATATTATTGTAGGAGAGAGATAAATAATATTTCAAAAATATAAGTACAACACTTAAAAAAACAGTTGATTAAGAAAAAATATTCCCTCCGTTTTTTTTCTTAAATGCATCACTTTCCTTTTATGGGCATTTATTTTTAAATGCATCACTTCCTTATTTGGTAACTTTATACTATATTTTATCATTTCTCTCTCTTACTTTAAACACCACTTAAATTATTTTATCATTTCTCTCTCCTTCATGGTCCCCACCTATATAATAAAAATATTTACTGTCCCTCACATTCTTGGTCCCCATCTAACTTTTACTATAATAAATTATTCAGCCACTCACAGTATTATATTACTGTCCCAAAACTCCGCGCATCACCAAGTGATGCAAATAAAAAAAAACGGAGGGAGTATAACACTAAAAAAACGAGGGAGCCCCAGTTAATCTCTGATATTAACATTTCAGTTTATCTCCTCTCACGCCTTTTTGCATTTGTTTCTGTGCCACTTTATTATTTTACTTTTATAATTTATAAAATAAAAGAAAAACATTATATTGTGAGTTGAGATATATTTACCTATTTATCTCAGAGATAAACTTAGATTTTCCCTAAAAAAATGGGAAAATGTCATTTACTCTGTAATTGCCTTTTATTCCGGTGATTACTGATTTACAAATAATAATATTCATAATCACTTAGGTACCAAACTAGGCTTAGCTTAATCGCAAGGAATAGGTCTAATTGCATGTCTTTGGTCATGAGATCAAACTCAACTAGGAGTTAAGAAATAGGAATTCTCTTTTTATTTCTTCTCCCTCAGTCCGATGAGTCTAATTTTTAAAGGTAATGAGGTCTTAGGTATGACATATTGTGTTATAATAAAAAATTTTACGGGTACATATTTTAGTTATATTAAATATACTCAAGTGGTTAGAGAGTTAGTGTTTCCCTCTCAATTCCAGAATGTAACACCCCAATAATTCTCTCTTTAAATATGAAATTCCTTTAATAAAAGGAAAAATTCATGGGAATAATCCCACCTTTGGGCCATTCTCTTTTAATAATCACACCTTTGAGATATTATTTAATAATCCGACCTTTGGGTGCCTTTAATTTTTATTGTTCCCTACAGGTTACCTCACTTGTTGTAGCCGGTATTAATCCTACATGGCTTCCAACGGTGATATTCCTTTTAATTTTTTTTTTATTTTGTTTAAAATGCCACATCCCTTAATTGTTGGGTCTTCTTCTTCTTTGTCTGTTTTCTCTCTTCCTTAAACGCCATTGTTGCTCTCAAATTCCCCTATCAAATTTCTCTATTCTCTCTGAAATTTGGTTGCAATGGCTAGTAGGAGGCACATTGGTTCAAGTGGATCATCTTCGTCAAGGTCAGTTGGTTGAGGTTCCCCAAAATTGAAGTGCAAATACGTTGTAGAAGCTGTAATTCGGACGGTGAGGAATAGTGATAATGTGGGTATGAAGTTCTATGGATGCCCTAAATGGCCTGTAAGTGTGGTGGGAAGTGACAGTTTTTTGTTTTTGCTATTGCACTTAAGATAATTCTCTTCGGAAAATCAAAATAGGGATTTCAAATTCAATTGATTCTGGGTTTTTTTTTTACAGGAGGGTGATTGCGGGTTCTTTCGGGGGGTTAATGCTAACAAAATGGACCTTGAACATCTACGATTCCAGGTTTTTGAAAGAGATACTCAAGTTGCTGAAAAAAAGATTGAAATTGATTTCATGAAGGAACAGTTGAAAAAAGTTGAGAAGAATTTAGGAGTTAAGTAGGATGAGTTGAATGATACCAAAATGGAGCTTTGCCACACTAGAATTGAACTAATGAAGGCATCAAGGAATGAAAAAAACTTCTCCATTGCTCTGTTTGTGTCATGGATTTTCTTTGCTTTTCTTTTAGTGTATTTGAAGGCATGATAGTGATGTTGTGCAGATGATAGTTGGTTAGAGTGAATAAGTTAGTTTTGGTTGGGAAATGATTGTATGTTGGGCATTTGTGACATGTATGGTCAAAAAACCTGGTGGCTATGCAAGATATGTATGTTGCAATGATTTGATGAATAAAAGGAAGTTATTTTGACAAAAATTTTCTTACAACTTCAATCACTACAAGAATTAAGCTCATTTCCGACGGAAAATTTCCGTCAGAAAATTGTGAAATTCCGTCGGAAATCCGTCGGAACATGTCTGTCGAAAAACCTTTCGTCGGAAAAAAGGTAGTTTCCGACGGATTTCCGACGGAATGATTTCCGTCATAGCAGGATCTGACTTTCAAAGATATAGTCCGTCAGAATTTTCCGACGGAATATTCCGTCGGAAAATTTATTAAAAAAAAATAAAATAAAAAAAGCCCCACCCACCCAGTAGCCACCTAGCCCCACCCACCCAGACACCCAGCCCCCACCCACAGACACCCCAGCCCCACCCACCCAGTAGCCACCCAGCCCCACCCACCCAGACACCCAGCCCCAAAACCCCACCCACCACCCACCCAGCCCCACCCAGACACCCACCCACCAAACGCACCCCACCCTTACCCAAACGCCCCCCCACCCAGCCAACCCCTGACCAAACGCCCCCCCACCCAACCCCTGACCAGACCCAGGCCACCCAACCCCACCACCAACACGACTCACCCAGCCATCCCCTTACCCAACAAAAATCGAAATTAAAAACAAAATTAAAAAATCAACAAAAAATCAGAAATTAAGGAAAAAATCAACAAAAACAAAGTTAAGGAAAAAAAATCAGAAAATCAATCCATCAACAAATATTACAAATTCAACAAAAATTAAAAAGTTAAGGAAATCAACAAAAAATCAGAAAATCAATCCAACAATTACAAAAATTTACAAAATTTACAAAAATTACAAATGTTGTTGTTGTTGTTGCGTTGTTGATGTTGTTGTTGATGTTGTTGCGTTGTTGTTGATGTTGCTATGCGTTTGTTGATGTTGTTATGGTTGTTGATGTTGTTATGCGTTGTTGATGTTGTTGCCTTCGTTGTTGTTGTTGTTGAGGTCGTCGAAGGAGAGGAAGGAGGAGAGGAAGGAGGAAGGAGGAGAGGAAGGAGAGGAAGGAGAGGAGGACGTACAGGAAAAAGAGGGGAAAGAGGAGATAGAAAGAGAAGGGGAAAAAGGAGAGAGAAAGAGGCGGAGACAGTGAGGGAGAGAAGGGGAATTAGGGTTAGGTTTTTATAAAAATAAAGTTTCCGACGGAATATTCCGACGGATTAAGTTCTGTCGGAATATACCGACGAAATATTCCGTCAGAAACTCTATTTTTTTTATAAAAAAAAATTCTTTTAAATTTTTATATAAAGATTTTCCGAGGGAATTTCCGACGGAATTGTCCGTCGGAAATTCCCTCGGAAAATCCTTTAATAATTTTTTTTTTGTTTTTCCTGTTTTATTTACAGGTTCCGACGGAATTTTCCGTCGGAAAAATATTTTTTTTTTGTTTTTCCTGTTTTATTCCGAGGGAAAATTTCCGAGGGAATAAATTCCGTCGGAAAATTTCCGAGGGATTTTCCGACGGAAATTTCCTTTTGCCAACGGAATTTTCCGACAGGTCGTAATTCCGTCGGAAATGTCGAATTTTCCGACGGAATATACGTCCGTCGGAACGTTTCCGTCGGAATTTGGCCTATTTCTTGTTGTGAATTATCATATAGAAATGAACACATTTCAAAAAGTTGTTATATTGAACATAATAAGTTGACAATGTTTAGTCCAAAAGACACAAAATGAACCCTGCCATGGTTCATGCCATTACATTGTAATATGCATATTGGCTTCTATAAGCCAACATGCCCAGAAAACTATTCCCAAAAGCTTACATAAACAAGGTACCAACACTGAATTAGTTCATTACACCAAAAGTGAGTCACTGTTCATGCCACTACTTAGTTGACTATTGAGTTGGTTGATGTAAGGTGGAACGTTGACTTTCTTGACTGCACTGGAACCAGCCCATAGCTGATGTTGTTCTCCTTTGATTGGCTTGGGTCTGCACACAGATACAACAGCAGATTAACATTAGTATAACATTAATTGCAAGCTAAATCAAACACACATAAAGTGACAACATAAAGGCACTTACACTAGTCATTGCAGATCCATCTGATGCAATGTATACACCTACACCTTCTGGGACCTGAACAGTTATAACACATCACCAAATAAGCAACAAAATACAAGTTACAACATACAAATAAGCTATGTACAACTATGAAAATATACCCGGTTCCTTCCTCTGGTACTACCCCTGCCCCTTCCTACTCCCCTGTTCCCACTTGAAGCACCTCTGCTAGAGCCAGCAACATCTGAACCCCTTCCCCTTTCAGCATTGCCAGCAGCACCTCCTCTACCCCTTCCACCCCTTAATCCCCTACCCATTATTATTGTTCTTCCTCCTCTACCAAGCATGGTAGGTTGAGCAGTTAGGGAGTGGTGGGTTGTATCAATTTGTTGCTTAGAAGAGGGTGTAGCCTGAGTGGATTGCACAGATGTTGGTGTAGGTTGAGGTGCAGCTGCAGTTGCAGTATGTTCAGCATCCTTGCGAGGCCTCCCTCTTGCCCTTTTTGGAGCAGGTTCAGGTGGTTGTACATTGTCCTTGTTAGGGCACTTTCTTTTATTATTCCCTTTTATTTGGTAGAGGGAACAAGTCATTTCAATCCCTGTTCTTGTCAAGGAACCAGATTTTTTAGGGTTCTCATATAGATCTTTGATTCGATTTTTCCTTGGCCTCCCTAGACCAATTTTGATTGGTGGAGGATCAATAGGCATAGACACTAGTGGCAGTGTTTTTCACCTTGAATTGGTGGAATGGAGCCTAACAAAATCCAGAAAAGAAAGGCATTAGTTCACAACAAAATCTAGAAAAGAAAGGCCAAAATGCATGCATTAATGGTAGATTGGTTACCTGCATACACTAACAAATAAGTGTCCCTGTAGTAGCATTTATCCACAAACAACTCTGGTTCCTTGCCCAGAAAATATATGGAAGCCACTGCATGGCAACATGGGATGCTAAGCATGTCCCATTTCCTACAAGTACAGCTCCTACTTTCCAAATTCACCACTAGTTGATCTAAGTCGTAATTAACATTGAAAAGGGTTTCAGAGGAAGGAGTTACTTCACATTCTGCAGCCTTTGCCTTCTCAGCTTCCAACTTGGCTTGAATTCTTGGACAAAGCATTGAGGTGGCTTTCATCATAGCTTGCCTTTTCACCACCAATCTCTGCATCAAAGTAGCTCTTATGTCTTCTAACATGTAGAGCAAATGATTGGTCCTTGCTTGAATGATGTACCCATTGAATGTCTCTACTATGTTTGAAGTAATTGCATCAGTCTTTAATGCAGGATTCAGAAAAGCTCTGCAGAATAATTTAGACCTATGCAATTTGAAGTCATTGGCTGCATCCATATTCAACTCTCAAGTCCTTCATTGTAATCAGCCATATTATATGCCTTTGCAATCCTCCAAAACAACAATTTCAGCTTATCTCCTTTATACTTCTTGTGCCAGTGAGCAAATATGTGTCTAGCACAGTGTCTGTGCTCTGCCTTAGGCCTTAGGCAGAACGGTTGAGACACTATGCACTATACTCTGTCAAATTACAAAACAAATAATAGAGAATTCAATTGAGCATAGTCCACTATTATAGGCAAAGTACATAAAATTAGCTCATCTAAAGAATTAAGTTAGGAATCATACCTGTTGCTCATCAGAAATGATTGAGATCCCTTCTCCTTCTTCCAGATTTAGACAAGCAGCAAGTTTCATGAAGAATCACTCCCAGCTGGAGTTGTTTTCACCTTTAACTACAGCCTAGCACACTGGGAACATCTGGTCATTACTGTCCCTGCCAACAGCAGCTAACATTTGACCCCCCATAAAGGTCTTTAGAAAACAGGCATCCACTGCTAAGACCTTCCTACAACCTTGCATCCACCCAGTTTCAAACCTTCAAAACATATGAACAGTCTCTGGAAAATTGGTGGGAAAGCCTGTTGTTCAGTGTCAGTTACAAGCTCCAATTCTGTTCCAAGACTGCATTCCTCTATTGCCTTCAAATACCCTCCTAGCTTGTTGTAGTGGTCATGCATTGACCCATGTAACAGTCTATGGGCAGTGTATTTAACTGTATAGGCAAAGTATTTGGTGACCAACATCCTGTATGCCTTTCTTACACACTCAATAATCTCTTTTGCTGGCCAATGTGGCCTGGTTTTAAACACATCTAGATATTGCTTTGCAACAAAACTTAATTTGAGCTGCCTGTTCCTCTTCATATTTCTCTGACAAGTGTGAACACCTTTCACTGTCTTCACAATTATTGTAGCTCTCCTACTATCCCAGGAAGCATACACATAGAATGGGCAGCTTCCTATGCATTTGACACCTAACCTCTGTGATCTGTTTTTGTTACTCACAACAATACTCACATCTCTACCCTGCAACACTCCACACTTTGCTACAGCATCCTTGAAATCCTCTCTATTTGCAAATTTCTGCCTAACTTTCCACTCAAAAGTTGCAAAATCTGTTTCTTTAGACACCAACAGACCTAATCTTTTTCTCCTTACAAGAATCAAATCTTCCTCACCACTATTAGGTGGGGTATGTATTTCCTCATCACTCTGTTCATAATCACTCTGGGGGCCAGAAGGTTCACCAGCTGCAGCTTCCCCAACCTCCTGCTGTATGCTTACACCCTTAGCTGCTTCAGTTTGGATTTTCCTTGCAATATCAACAAGCTGGGCAGTTGGATCCCTTACCCTTTGCCTAGCTATGTTCTACTCTTCATCCCCACTGTCAAACTGATATTGTAGGTCCTCATTCAAAATCTCTTCAGTCTCCTACTCATGCTCTTCCTCTGCCTCCTCAAAAGCATAATCCTCTTCACCTATATCAGCACCACCATCAAACTCTACATGTAACACATCCTCCTCCCCACTGTCATCTGTACACACTTCTCCAAAAAAAGGCTGGCTACTAACTCTTTTTCCTTTGTCAACTTGTGGGTTGTAACTAGGGTCAGCTGTGTCACTGTCACTGCTCAAATCTGGTATCAAATCATTAATGGGGATAGGGCTATCATGCCTTGAATCTTCCCACTCATAACTGTTGATAGGGTCATTTTCTGTGTTTGCAGCTGCTATGGAAGAGGGAGTGGGCTGAGATATTTCAAATATGGTATTAGGGTTTATAACATATTTTATTCTACATGTACTTTGGTTAGATAGGGTAATGGTTGGTGGATTGGGAATAACTTCAGTGGGAGTATCTTTTTTTGGCTTTAGTGAGCTGTCAAGGGCTTTTGGGAAGGTTCATCAATAGTCAATGGCTGACTTTTATTTCTTGGACTAGATCTAACAGGTGGTCCCCTCTTTATTGGTAGTTTTTTGGATCTCACAGTTTTGGGTTGGGTCTGTTTTGAGGAAGCAGGTTGTAGTTCAGTAGGGAAGGCTATTGGGTCATTGTCACCATGCATAGCATATACCTCCACCCCCCGTGCTTCTCTGCCACCTGTATCATTTTCGTCATACTTTCATCATCTGTCACCTTCCTTAAACCATCCACCATACTAAGTCCAGGAACTAAGTATAAAAAGCCCTGAATTCTACCATCATATCTAGCACACTTCATAATCAACTCCACAAGATAAAAGGAGCATAGTAAATCAGGGTCTACACTAAACGTTCTACCTTGTCCATTCATATAACACAACCCATCATTGTCAAGCTGCTAAAACACCCCTCTATGCCACATTTTCAAGCTTATAATATTACGAGATTTACGACCCATACCTAAAATAACAGGAACTATAGCACAATTAACAGTCAACAAAAACCAACAAAAACAACACAACAAAAACCTAGCATTTAGGGTTCGAACCCAATTAACATAAACCAACAAAAAAAAATCACAACATAAGACAAACAAACCACAATTCGCACCCATAAGTACCATATAAATTGAAATCCAATAGGCAAAATCATCAATTTCAAGTTTAATTGCTTAAGGTTCGAGATACACTTGCAAAATTAGCAAAATTTCAGGCGTACATTAGGGTTCAAAACTTTCCTAAAATGGAGTTCTTTGCTGTCCAAATATCACCAAGAATGGAAGCTTCAGACTTTAGGGCACCGTACTCAAGTGGTTGAAGCTTCAATTATGGCTGACGAAATTTTTTTACAGGCTCTGTTCAAGTGAGTAATGAGGGAGGAGTTCTTTCAAACATTAACGAGGGTGGTTGGGAGGAGGGAGAGATGACCTAGCATCTTTTAGAGGGGAAATTATAGAACCCAAGTCCACGTAAGAAGGCTTTACCTTGTTAGCCAGTTCCAAGTAAAATGGGACCAATAAAAATTAAAGGTACCCAAAGGTCGGATTATTAAATAATATCTCAAAGGTGGGATTATTAAAAAAAGAATGTCCTAAAGGTGGGATTACTCCCATAAATTTTTCCTTAATAAAATCCAAGAGAATTACTGACGTGCTACCGCCACGTGTTCAAACGTTAAGCCTAATTCAAAATTTAACAACGGAAAAACTAACTCAGTTATAAATAAGTTTCAAAACCAAAGAGCAAAACCAAGTTAAGTCTTACAAGTTGGAACCATTAAGGCTCTTATTCAAAACCCAACAAAAGTAGTAAATAAATCAAACTAGAGTTTTAAATGAATTCATGACTATAAAATGAAATAAACTGCAAACAATAACCAACTCTCCACTCAAAATCCCACCACCTTGATGCAAGTCCAAACTATATGAACACCTGTGATAAGTCTGCTCCCCAATATTACAAGTGTAAAGATTCGATCATTACAGGGTCATTGATGGGCGAAGACCATGACCAAGAAAAAGACACACAAAAGCACGCAATCAGCAATGCTGAGTACATAGAGGCTACGAAGTTTAAAAAGAATTCCTAGCATGCTACTAATAATCAATCAACACACACAATTTAATTATTGACTCAAACACATGCCTCAACTGTTAACATTACTAAGACTTCACTAATTAATAATAAATCATTCATTTCATTTTATTCATTGGATTAAGCAATAGACAAGGTTGTCTCCTCATGCTCCAATTTGGAACATCAATAAAAGAAAACCCTATGCCTCCTTTCGAAAACATCAATAAACATCCAATGGTAGACGAGCGCGACTCCGTGGCCATAGCTAGTATGAGATCTCATCTAACTCCTTATAGTTTTAAAAAGTATTTGAAAACAAGAGAGTCGTAGATCAGACGGCCTCTAGAAAAATGCACGGCTAATACCTCGTGTACCCCAACCCCTGTTTGTCATTACACTAGATGTGCACAAATCCAGAGTTTTATTACTCATCCTTCTTGCACTTTACGTGATTTACCAATTTAAACTTGGTGATGACTCTAATGCAAAATAATACAACCAATCAAACATTAATCATTCAAGCAATTCAAAATTCCAATTCAATTCTTGATTTATTAGTGACAAACAAAATTTATTATTGAATCCTTTAACTACCTCGGTGTATAAACACCTTAAGTGCATAAGGCACCTCAAATCCTCGACCTCGTCTTATAAGACTTTAATTCTTTCTTTACTCATTCCATTTCAATAATAATGAACGAATAATAAAATAACTCATTCCATATATTCATGTACCTTTGCCTCTAAGCTCATCTTGCAAGTTATTGCATAAATAATACTTACAAGAAAAATCAATACTCATTTCTCATACATGAATTAAACCAATCATCACATTAATCATCAATCAAACTCACTACCAAACAATTTCAACCAATCTACAAGTTTCCCTAACATGATTCTAAATTTTTCCAAGTCCTTAAACATGCTTCTAAAGTCAAGGTTTTCGTATCCTTGTACGTACCTTGAGTAAACGAGTTGGTTGGCCACTATAGGAACTAGAAATCGCCCTCTACAAAGTCCTCTCCTAAACCAAACAACAATAATTCATCAATACTCAAGCAATAAAATTTACAGCAATACTAACTTACTTTAAAACCCCTTAAACCATTGAAATAATGCCTTTAAATTATTCACAATAGTCAAAGTTAATAATTTAATAGTTCAACTATAAGTTTATATGTTAAAATCATGAAAATATAGCTTATAACATGAAATTCCAGCAACTTTAAAGTAAGGAAAATAATCTGAAAATTTAGTTTAAGATTATAAAACAACCTCATAGACATCTCTACTTGAAATAATTATTATATAGTAGGTTAGTAGATTAAAAACCTAAAAATCCATCATTAAACCATGATTTAAAACCTTTAAAACCAAGACTAAAAGTCTGAAAATTTAATTTAATAATAGAATGTATGAATACAACAATCTAAACTTGAAATATATAATTAGAACTCAATTAGTTTCATAATTACTTGATCAAACCTTCAAATTTCACAACTTAAACCCTAAAATAAACATAATTCAAATCTGGAAATTAATTTTAATACTAGCAATAAAAATTATATGCTAATATAATCAACATAGGGTTAGTCCAATCCCCTAATACGAATTTAGCCCTAAAATCCCCAAATAATCAAGTTTAAAGCCCTAATTTTACAAATTATGTAATCTGAAAATTTAAACTACACATAATTTATAAACTTGATAATTTCTCATGCTTTTAAGAAATTTAAACATGATTAAAGTAATTAAAACTAACAACATAAATTAAAATAACAATCTTTAACAATAATAATAAGGGAAAAGCAGAAACAAGGAAGGAAGGAGGAAGGGAGAAGGGAGGCAAAACCGGCAGCGAAGCGGCTGGGGTGGTCTAGATGGGGAGCAATGGTGGCAGTGGTTGAGTAGGCGGCAGCAGCTATGGCAGCGTTCTTTTTTTTTTTTTTTCTCTTCATGATCGTGAAAATTAAAGCAAGGAGGGGGAAGCAGTGAGATTAAATTGACGTGAACGAGGGGGAAGAATTTAAGGGTTTTTGGGGTTTTTAGATGTGTATGTGGGCTTGGTTTCCAAACTTAAGTGGGAGTAGAAATTTGTAGATTGGGCTTAAATGGGAGTTTAAGCTCTCTATATTTGGGTTACTAACACCATTGATAAAATATGTTGGTGTATAGAAAAAGAGAATTTAAATTAGATTATTTGCTTATTAATTTAATAAAGTTCAAATGATCGATTCTCACCACCCGCCCTTGTGGCTCTCTAAACACCAGGAAAAAATATATATATATATAATGCACACAACAAATTAGGCTAATACGTCCTTGTTACTCACTTAGCCCCCGCTCACTTCACCTTAAAAAAATAATATCAAATAAAAATAATTTCAGTTCAGTAAAAATAAATTCAGTTGGTAAAAATAATTTCAGTTCAGTAAAATTCAATAACTATAAAGAAGAAATATAATAGAAAATCAGTAAAAATAATTTCAGTTCAACAAAAATAATTTCAGTTCAATAAAATTTATTTCAATATAGTAAAAATAATTTAAATTCAGCAAAAATAATTTCAGGTCAGTATAAATAATTTCAGTTCAACAAAATTAAGGTGAAGTGAACGAGGCCTTACTCTATTCACTTACATTGAATGAGTCGGAGAGGTTACAGGTCCCGTATTATTTCCTTTGCTAACATACATTTTTAGTTTTTTGGAAAACAAAGATCTTTTATCTTCTTCAATCTATTCATCTAATAATTTGTCAAAATCCTGCACATTAAAGAGGAATACCGTTCTGGAAAGACAGAACACTTGTACGGTTCAAACAATACATCTCTCAGCTACAACCATTTCTAATAAAACTGCCACCAATCAATATCCACCAAACCATGACATAACTTTTACCAATGATTCATCCTCAGGACCTCAGCTAACAAGAAAGCACTTTGCATGGCAATCATCAAGCACTTCAGTCCTTCCAAACCAATTCAGACATTTGCTTTGTCGGCAACAGCATTATCCATCATCTCATCAACAAATATTTCTGTTGGTTCAAGGCAGCCTCTCAAGGAGTCGAGTCCAAGTTGAGCTCTTTCATTATCCCCAAAGCCAAAAATTTGGCCCCTGTTTGTGATGACGACTGTGTGATATAGGCCAGTACATATCTGAGAAATATAGTGACCTCTCAAGCTATCAAGGATACGTGGCCTAGTGACCTTATCAGATGCTCCCCTATCTGTAAATCCAAGGCTACCAAAGGCCATCCACCCAAAGGCATAAACAGAGCCCGTGTCCACTAGAACATAAGTTTTCCTCTTACTAGCACAAACCTGCGGGTAACAATAAGGTTTAGTAATGGAAGCTTTTATAATAGTCACTGCAAGAAAAATTACTGCAGTATAAACTTTGGCAATGGCTAACTGACGGTTTCTCCCAAATAAAAGGGTAAAGGTGACCTTTTTTCAAAAATACATTTGCCATACAGAATGTTGTATAGCACACAGTTGCAACACCAGCTAGGCAGATACCCTTTGCTCCTTCCTTTGCTCCTTCCCTTCTTCCCCTTAAAAACCTCTTCCCCACCCCCCAAAACACAATGAACATAGAAAGAAAAGAAACAAAGATAAGAGAATATGGAAATGAAAGATCCAATTGCCATGATATCAGCCCCAGTTTGACGCTACAGATACTGAATAGTTCAGGGTGCAAGTTATTTGGAAGAAACTGAAAGTCCACTCAATTCGATTCAAATTGGTAAATTGGACTGTATTTAATAATTAGAGGTATGTGAACTCTGGGCAAGTATTGGTAAAACAATTAACATATTCATTTTATTAACAGCTTGATTAGTGACTTAAGTCATTAATTGGTAAAGATGTAGTTTGCACATTGCTCATCGTACTTTAGGAGGATTAACTTCCATCAAAGTGTTACATTGCAATGTGAAAATTGATATATTGAAACAAGGTATCAATTTATATTACAAAGTATTAATTATACATTATGCACTGCCTTTTGCTTAGGTGCACAAACCATCTCCTCATTCTTGCATTCCCTCCATTGTCCTTCATCATGTTGGATTAAAGAAGAAACTTGATTGAAGTAGAGGGGGGGGGGGGGGGGGGGTTGGGGGGTGGGCTCATTTAATCAAAATTTTAGCTTATGTGCTTCCTAGACAGAACTAATTATAGAAAAATTATTTTTAGCTGGAGAACTCTTTTTGTTTTAATCAGTCCTGCACTCTAGTACAGTAACTCCTTTCAAAAGTAAATTTGATAGTTTGAGCATTTTAAAATGCCTCAATATTTTTCATGTATGAAAGATTTGCATTTGGAGTTTTGGCCATTTGTTAAGTTGCTAAGATGGTTGTTGCTTTATCCTAAAATGAAATAGCATAAAATATCCCAAAATGGGCTTTCTGCAAATTGTAATTTTCGAATAAGGTTCGGTTAGATCCAAATTGAACTGATTGAAATGATTCAATTTGGATCTATTACCTTAAGCAATTCAGTTTAGGTTTGGACTATTATTCCGAAATCATTACATTAGGGTGGATTTAGGCGTTAAAGCAAGTTCAATCTAAACAATCCAACGTTATACGGAGTAGTATGGACTCTCCACAAGAAGGAGCCAGGCCAGCCACTACTTTCTAATTTGGGGTCATGAGGTCAGTAAGGATTGGGAAGGTCCAGATCACACATTTTACATCTTCTAATTCAAACTCCAAACAGCAACAACAAAAAATAAAATAAATACTGAGACAATTTACAGAACTAGGCTGCAAGAATTCTATATTAAATTTGAATTTAAACATTGTAAAAAGATACTAACCTGCACAGCAAGATGATTCTTCAGGCTGCTTACAATTCCTGGAGTTGTCTTTTCAATCTCATCTCCATGACCCAACGCACCACAATAACCTTTGCCCCAAGTATACACCTTAAAGAAATGAAAAGAAAAAAAAAGGCACAAGAGTTAGAAAGGTATACTGGAGATCAAATAATATATTAAGTATCATACTTGACATAAAAGATCAATCGGCTTGAATGTACTTACATATCCACAAGAATCAAGGGCCACTACATGCTCATCACCGGCTGAGACACGAACTACATGAATACCTTTTCTTCTAAATGACAAGATAGCCCGGGGCTGGTGTTCATTTCGCTGTTCCCCATGGCCTAAACAGAAATTAGTACCTGAACCAAATGAGTACACTGTCCCATCATGAGCCACAGCTATGGAGTAGCTGGGACCAGCTGAAATTTGAACTATAGAGCCAACACTCTCAAGAAGTTCAACAAGTTTTGGCATAGGTCTATCCATTGTGTCACCATGACCAAGCTGCCCATGCGTGTTTGTTCCACATGTGTAGACATGGCCTTCTCTAGTGAGAAACATAGTAAAACTAAGCCCTGCAGCAACCTGCACAAGTTACAGACTTCAATAAATGCTGTCCTGGGGAAAGAAAAGATCAGCTAAACATATATTATGCAAGGCAGTCAACACTCAACAGATAATTCATGATTAACTATCTTTTCCCCTTGGAGGAATTGTGACCTTCAAGGTGTGTAGAGGGGATGCAGAAATGCAGATATGACTCTAAGCTTCATTACCAAAATACCAAAGATAAAAGGGAGTGAATAGCGATAATGTTACAGTGCTCATAAAAGTCAAATGATTCTTTTGTATCATTTTATTTGGTTCCATTTGACTTGTATTGTTTTTTAGGCCAAATTAATGGCATCAAATTTCACCATTTCCCCCACCTTTCCTGTCCCCCTTTTCCACAAACAAACCAAAGTCCAAAACCCAAATTTAGTGTAACCTTTAGTAATGAAATATGATTGCCATTAATTTGGCCTAAAAAACTATAAAAGTCAAATGGAACCCAAAGAATCTATATAAGTAGCCCTCCACACACTAGAAAGAACCGACCTTTATAGACAACCAATACTCACACGCATCCCCAAAAATAGAGCCGCATCATGTATACATGACAATATAGTGAGGTAACAAGCCAACAATACATAATGATTTAAATAGAGACCCTTCTAAACTTATAGAGGGGCTTGTTTTCATAGCATATGATCAACTAAATATAGTTGATTTTACAAAGAATAAAGTAATAATAAAATAAAACCAAAAAAGATGCAAAGAGCTATTCCAAACATTCAGTAATCAACAAAACCATAAAATGTAAAAACTTGAGCCAAATGCTAAGAACAATCTATATTAGCCCATATAAAGATATGTAAATGAACGAATCACAAATCTAACCAAAGAAAACAAGACAAGTAAGTGAGCAGTTCATAAAATACCAAAAATTCTTACTTGCTTACAAGAAATGCCTTTCAGAGCTTCAACCAACCGAGGCCGGAAAATGGGTCGACCTGTGTCTTTATGCCCACAACAAAATGAGGAATTGTCTCCACATGTGAAGACCTGTACCATCAAAAGATTTTCTAATTAACAATCAATAGCTGAGACATATAAGCCATCAAAGTGTATACAAAAAAAATTATAATGTCACAAACCTCTCCAGACAATGTAACAAAAGCAGCATGATTGTGTGAAGCTGAAACTTGGACTACAGGCGAAGAAGGCGGAAAACTTATCCGACTAAATGACCCGCATTGCGTCATTTCTGAACCCTGACCAAGAACTCCACACAAGCTGGAACCACAAGAGTAAACTGATGAATTGCTGACAAGCAAAGTGTGATATCTCCCCGCCTTTATCTGCATCTGCTGAATAATTTAACAGCATAAGCAACAAAAGAGTCATCCTCAAAGAAAGAAACAGAAACTAGTTTACAATACTACAACTCAAAAAAAAAAATAAGAGTCACACAGCAGTACAGCACAAAAGATTTAGCCAGTTCTTCAATCCAGAAAAAAAGATCAAATACTTCAGCTCCCTAGTAAAGCTAAAGTATTAAAGCAAAGCATTCCTGATGTTCCACCAAACATACAATAATAAGTCCATCCCACACCACATGACCAACACAACCTTAATAAATACAGAGTATAAACACAAGCATAACTGGTTTGAGCTAATATCTCTTACTGTAGAAATCACCTAATCAAAAAAATTCAAATCAATTTCAGCTAAAATAGTATATTCCCAGAACATAAAATTTCATATGCAATCTAAGACATGATAAATTATTGTAAACATAGAAATTCAACCAAACAAAACAAGCAACAATCAACAAAGTTAACAATACATTGCAACCAAAGTAACTAGTGTAACAATGCTAAGAAATTCTTAGAATTGCTTCAAACTATTTAGCCAAAAATCATCATAAAGTAGCAATACTACATCATATAGCTTAGATGAGCTACATTTCACTTTTTACTAGAATTAAATTTAATCAAGAAATCCTATTATGATAAAAAATAGAAAGTTTAAGAATCAGAAAAAGCAATACATTGCCAGCTGAAGTCTTAACAATATCAGAAGCTTGTTCAACAGACTGCAAGAACCTCAAAACCCTCTTCCAATTCCCACCACACCGATCAAAGAGCTCCTTTCGAGTTTCGAAACTCATGGGGGCGTAAACTGAGTGCGAAACGCATAGCTGAAACGCCGCTAAATCAGCTAAAGAGCGAAATTTCAAAGGGTATAACCCTTGACTCCCTCCAAAAATGGAAGAAGCCAATTCCAAACAAACAAGATCAGCAGCACTTAACCTTCCTGAAGTTAAAATCTCTAACACAATATGAGAGGGTAACTCGTCAATTGATACCGCCATTTCTAAATCAGGAAACAAAATTACAATTCAACAACACGATTAATTTTCAATTGAAATTAGAGGGATCATAAAATTTTAGGCGAAAACGAGAGCAATTGAAGTATAATATGAAGAAAACATCGGAAGGAAGAAAAATATGAGAAATTGAGTAAGGAAATGGGGTTTTTGATGTGAAATGCACAGGCGATTTGGGAGAATTTGGTAGAGAATTAAACATGAGAAGTAGTAAAATCAATCACCCAACCCTAAATTCGCGATTTCTTCGGAAATTGGAGGCGATTTAGGGTTAATTGAAGAAAATTAAGAAATGAAGAATCGAAATTAGGGAAGAAATCAAATGTAGGGGTAAAAGTTGAGGTAATTAAGGAAATTGAGAGTGGAAATTTAGCGAAAATTGCCGAAAAATCGACTTTTTTTGTGGGAGCTGAAATGGTGGAAGAAGGAAAGAAGATGTATTATTTGGACATGAGAGACAGAAAGAGTTGGTGACAACTGACAAAGTCTCCACTATAAAGAGAGAGAATGTGAATAAAAGCAGTGCAGACAATCAAATTGCAGGCCTATTTTTAAATTTGTGAATATTGTACTTTCTGTATTACGTTGAGGTGGTAATCGGGTTATTTGGTTTCAGTTTAAATGTTGTAGTACTCCGTATTTGATTTTTTTTATTTTTTTTTTTTTATTTTTTTTTTATTTTTTTTTTTTATGTTCAAGTCAATGGTAATCAAGTCTCATTTCGAAATTAAATGCTCTAAATTTTTGAGGTAGATTGTTTGAAATTTAAATTTTTGTGGTAGATTGTTCAAAATTTATATTTTGGGTTATATATCAAATTATGTAGTGAATGCCACTTATTTAATCTATTAAAGTTGTAAGGGTGATATCTGTAATTTCATTTTTAATATTGAATTACATTGTATATAGTTTGAGTCATAATTTAATCCTATACTCCGAACATGGTTTTCCTTTTAAATCTCAATTTTTAATTGGTTATGATAAGTTCATAATCTTAAAATATTACTATCTTAATTTCAAATAACAGCTCTATAAAGGATAGTTTATACGAGTACTTTGTACACATATGTCTTGTTTGAATTTTTTTTTCTTTTTTAAATTATTGAAAAAATGGTTCATTTGCAAATTAGCTTAGATAAAAAGGAAATAGAAAACTTAATGTTATATAAACGAAATATAAATTGCCCTTTATAAAATAAAATAAAAAAAATCATTAACGACAATGATTTGCCCATGATTTGATCATGCAATCCTTAATTTTATGCAGAGTATGGAGTACTAAATAAAAAAAAGTTATTTAATGCTTATTTGCAGTTCTAAGAGCTACATAGAACATTATTTTTTGTATATGAGTATAAGCCCAGACAATAACCACATCAAATTCTCCAATTCCGAGCTCTCATTGGTGTAATATGGAGTGTATGCCTAGGCAATAACCTCATCAAATTGTGCAATTCTGAGCTCCAATTAGTGTAATATGGAATATATGCCTAAACAATAACCTCATCAAATTGTGCATTTCTGATCTCTAATTGGTGAAATGGAGTGATTCCTAGATCTTAATTTAGTTATTGTAGTTTGTAGCTAGAGCAATGACACGTGGATATATTGAATGCTGGAACTTGGGAGTTATGGAAAAGAAGTTTCAAATGATGTTGCTGTGTTTTTTTTAAATAACGACTTGTATAGATGTGGGCTACAGAAGATTCCCGAAGCATGGTTGTATGAGGGTTGAGTGGTTGACATGTCATGATCTAATTGGTTAGTAGGTGTGTTTTTAGGATTTTGCATAAACTCCTGTTTGACAATTAGCAAGGAAGTACTAATGGAGTATAAATACATAACTTTAATTAATTAAAATATTCTAAAAGCACATGGTAGAGAGAGAAATGAGGAGAGAGATAGAAAGAGATAGGTGTAGGTGGATCAATTTTATTTTTTTTTTACCAGATTGCCATTACGTGATGAGGATTACGTATTAATTGTTCCACTGAAAGTTTATATAATACAATTGGATCTTCAGTACTACTTATATATAAATTTATTACTACAACTGAATGAATATACAGTACTACTACATTTATCGATGGATGGCCCACCCCATGCCCAGAATTTTAGTATAATTTACTTAAATGTTGTATTTCACTACAAGAAATTTTTTATTTGCTGTTATTAATTTTCCGCATTTTAGGCAAAGCGTAGCAAATTAAAGTGAGTTTACTTATACATGATATCTAGGCCCTGTTCTTTTCATCTTATTTCCACTTATTTCAGGATTAATAAGTTCAGATAAGAGTTAATAAGTTCAAGAAAAATAAGTTAAAATAAGTTATGATAAGGGTTAATTAGGGCTATCTAAGTTTAATTTATAACTAAAATAAGAGCTAATAAGTTCAAATAAGATCAGATAAATTCAAATCAGACGAATATAACGTACCCTGTGGTTTCAAGCAATAACCCCTTCTTTTAAATCGAAAATATTGATTAGCAGGGTTATTAATTTTAACCGCTGCAAATCAATAATTGGTTCTTACCCTAAACCCTCATTTTCCTACCCACCGAATTGAGTTCGCTCTTCCACATGAACCCTCTTCCTCCCTTTTCCCTCTTCTTCTCTCACCCACCCTAACTTTCACCGTCGAATTCCCCTCACTGGTTACCGTCGAATCCTCTCACTCGCCCTAAGCCTCAGCGGTCATCGCCCTTCCTCATTAGCTCTGATTTTGCTTATTCTCAGGTGAATCGCTTGCCATAACCCTCAGTGTTACTCTCAAAAGGTGATGTTTATTCTATTTTCTGAACTAAGAACGAATTCTGATTAGGCTAGTATTTTGGGTGTTTATCTTTAACATTAGGGTGTTTATTTTAAAAACTGAGAACGAATTATGACCTGCAAATTGGGGGTTTTTTGTTTTAGAATTTTTTCTTGCTGTAATTCCATTAGTTCTTGCTTTAGATCATTAGTTAAAATGCAGTTTCTAGGTTTTCATTTCAGTCAATTGAACAGAGCTATAATTTATGTAAGAGATATACTGACGTAAGCTACTATTGAACAATCATTTACATAAAAAGCTACTATTGAACAATCATTTCTGCTTAGGCTAACTTATATGAAGGTATGATTTATGTCCTTTGTTTATATTCTTCAATAATGTTTTTACCATATGCTGGGAGAATGCCATATCTCAAACATACTAAATTATATTATCTTCTGCTTCTTGAGACTGCCCTGCTTGCACCGAGTTTCATGGTGTTTGTTTCAAATTAAGGTTTAGTTTAAATAGTAGGTGTGTAATTAGATCTGCTTTATAGAAGGCCCATGATTTGCAGTAATCCTTAAACTTGCCTTTAACATGGATATAATAATGTGAAAGTACAACTAATAGAACATGAGTTTTCTTAAGCTTGCCACTTGCATTTTTGAATTGATTTCATCAACAAGAGTGATAATAGAAACACTATGAGAAGTTACTATTTGTAATTGTCACATAGTATGTGATATTTTTCAATTGGAGCTTTTCTATATACTTCCTCCGTTTTTTGTTATTTGTAACAATTGTACCTGTTGCGGAGGCCAAGGCAAAAGTTTTTAAACATGATTATTGAAATATAAGGGCATGTACTTAAGAACTAATCCAATTTTTTTAAAAAAAAACCCACAATCAATCAGAACCCAACAACCAAACCCAGAACCACCACCACCACCGAATCCACCGTAAACCACCACCACCACCGAACCCACCGTAAACCACCACCACCACCGAACCCACTATGAACCACCACCACCACTGAACCCACTGAAAACCCAGGCCAGAACCTGTCGAAAGCCACCAACACACACGAACCCACTGGAAACCACCACCAAAACCCACTGAAAACTACCAAAATCCATCGGAAACCACCAAAACGCACCAAATAACACTAACCCACCAAATCCCAGCGAAAACCACCATAACCCAACGAAAACAACCACCAAAACCCACCGAAAACAACCACAAAAAACCCGAAAGCCCCAATTAAACCACCACCACCACGAAACCCAGAACCACCAAACCCAAAACCACAGGAACCGCCAAAGCCACCGAAACCCACAACCCAAAACCATCGGAATCCACCGACGAACCCGGCAAAACCCACCCACAAACCACCAAATCCTTAGAGTACCACCAAAACCAACCTTTCAAACCACCAAATCCAACCATGAACCACCGAAACCTTTCGACTACCACCAAAATTAACCCCCACGAACCCAGCAAACCCAACCACGAACTCAGCAAACCCAACCACGAACCCAGCTAACTCACCCACGATGCACCCCCACAAACCTGCTGACCCTCCCACAAACCACCAAATCCAACCACAAATACAAGCAAACCACCGACGAACAACCAGATTTGGAACCTTCTTTAACAAAGGTTTGGAATTTGATGAGAGATGAAGAAAAGGAAATGAGAGATGAAGGAGGAGAGAGAAAGATAATTGGGGAGATGAATTGAGATGAATCTGATTTTTAGGGTGGGAAGACTTAGATAATTAATTCAGATTAGGATTATAATGAGTTGTAATTATGTGTTGTATTATGTGCTAATAATTTTTAAGTGGGGGTATTTTAGTCATTTTCACAGAAAAATGTTACTAAAATAGGAAAGAAATAGCTTTGTTGCAAATAATACAAAACACCCAATTTTAGTAATTGTTGCAAATAACAAAAAATGGAGGTAGTATGTTATCAAATTCCTACTGTCTCCTCATTCAACCTAAAGAGAAGCTACTATGTGTAATTGTCACATGTTATCTTCTTTTGTTGTTTGATTGACACCTTTGAAACAACACATGAGTGCACTAACCGAATCAAACACACCCTGCATTAACCAATTAGGTTAGTATATATTAGCTGCCTATCCAGAATGGAATGCCTCTAAGAGGGTCATATAGTTTTAGTCTGAAATCTGTAGTTTATGTTTGAACTTTATGTAACATCTGTTTGTGAAAGCCTAATAGGCTACTACAAGAGGGGGGTGAATTGTAAAAGCAGTGAAGTTTAGAACTTTTTGCGGAATTAAAACTAAGTAGAACAGTAAAGAGAGATAATATAGGCTTTTATAATTTTTCACTATGTAAATAAACTCTTTTACAAGTGAAGAATAAAACCCCGTACCAAGTTCCACAAGATTGGAACTTGTTCCCAACTCTCATAGAAATTTGGACTCTGAAATTTCTTTAACCTCACTGATTACAAATCTCACAATCCCAATCCCCAAATATCTTGATTACAAATAGCAATACAAGAACTTAGTACACTCAAGAATATAAGAGATGTAACAGAACTTCTCTTCACGTTATTAATGTATACTGGAATGTTTTAGCTTTCGTGGCTTTTATAGAGAAGATTAGTCATTAACTTCCACCTTAACCAACACATGTCAACACCCACTTTCAATTAGTGGATATTAGTGACAAGTGGTTAAGTTAGTGGAAGTTTCCTAAACTTCTCATTAACCCACGTACTCAACAATTGATGCTACATTATAGCTCAAGAAAACCGTAGCTTGAGAAAATCATGCGATCAAGAAAACGGTTTGTTGACTTCTTCAAATATTCTGTTTAAAAGATTTTATTTGAAAAGATTTTATTTGAAAAAGATATTTTATAAAATATTTATTTATTCAAAACTAATAGGATAATTAAACTTAAAAAGATAATTATCTTATTCAAAATATTTAATTAGATTACGTTAATTATAAAATATCTTTTCCAAAATTAAATCTATTTATTTAAAAATAGTTTTATCATAAATCAATAAAACAATTTTTATTCCAGTTATATTATTTTAATAACGTGCCTCATTGAGTTCCTTTCCAACTTATAATTTGAGTGCTTACAATTAAATCTAGGACGTAAGATTGCATGAGGTTTATTTGAGAATGCTACTCCGCATCCTTGATTTGCGTTCCTATTCCGGAACG